TTCCATTTTTTAAAAATATAAACTTAAACAAAGGGAAGCAAAAGAAATAGAGGTCCAGGTGTCTCAACACAACAACAACAACATTCCATTTATACAGCGCCTTTCACGTCGGGAGGACGTCCCAAGGCGCTGGACAGTTGGGTCAGGACCCGAGCAGGGGGGAAATGGTCAGGGTGAGGGGAGGGAAGGGAGGGAAGAGAGGGAGCGAGCAGGTAGAGAGTCGAGAGGGGAGCTGAAGGCTCGGTCAAAGAGAAAGGTCTTGAGACCGGCCTTGAAGGAGGAAAGGGAGGAAGCGGCGAAGGCACTGGGGATGGAGTTCCAGAGCCTCGGGGCTGAGAGGCTGAAGGCCCGGCCACCGATGGTAGGGCGGTTGTGGCGGGGGATGTGGAGCAGACCGGAGCCAGAGGAACGGAGGGTACGGGCAGGTAGGTAGGGGGATAGTAGATCGGAGAGGTAGGAGGGAGCGAGGCCGTGAATGGCCTTGTAGGTGAGGGTGAGGATCTTGAATCCGATCCTCTGGGGGATGGGGAGCCGGTGGAGGCGAGCGAGGGCGAGGGTGGGAGTGAGGGTGAGGGCGAGGGCGAGGGTGGGAGTGATGTGGTCACGAAGTCTGGTGCGGGACAGTACACGAGCTGCAGAGTTCTGAATGACCTGCAGTGTGGAGGGAGGGCCGAGAAGGCCAACGAGGAGAGAGTTCCCATAGTCCAGCCTTGAGGTGACAAAGGCGTGGACCAGAGTTTCAGCAGCGTGAGGGGTGAGGTAGTGCCGTAGTCTGGCGATGTTCCGGAGGTGGTGGAAGGCGGTGCCAGTTGTGGTGCGGATGTGAGGGAGAAAGGACAGCTCAGGGTCGAACAAAACGCCGAGGTTCCTGACTGGCTTTGAGAGGTGGAGAGTGCGGCCTTGGATGCTGATGCTGTCAGCGCCTGAGGTGCGGAGGCGCTGATGTGAGCCAATCAGGAGGGCCTCGGTTTTGCGCACGTTGAGCTGAAGAAAGTTGTCTCTCGTCCAGGACTCGATGTCGGACAGACAGCTGTCAGGACATCGGTGGTCGTGGAGTTGAGAGTAGAGGAGGAAAGGTAGAGTTGGGTGTCATCCGCATACATGTGGAAGTTAACCCCATGTTTGCGGATGATGTCACCACAGGGGGAGCATATAGAGGGTGAAGAGGAGGGGACCGAGGACAGAGCCCTGAGGGACACCGCACGAGACAGGGCGGGGGGTGGAGGAAAAGCCGTTTGTGGAAACAAAGTGAAGATTTTTAGCAATGGGAAGTTTCTCATGACTCCTATGATTGCAAACATGAACTGGACTGTGCAATAATTACTACACATTCAACAACACGAATATCTGGGCTTTGTGGGCAGTAGAGTCATTAAATACAATTAGTCCAGTAATTTAGTTGTCAGCCTATAAATTGACATAGACACGTTCATGCCTGCACTCTGGTGCAGGTGCTAGTTAACTCTATATATATATATATATATATATATTAAGATTCAGTAAAACTCCCAAGCTTCAATTAAAAAGGACTCTATTGTTGGCAAGAAGTGACTTACACGATCAGTGAGAGTCATGTGCAGAAATAATGGGCTTTTTCCAGTTTTATTTGAACTCATGACACTTGATTCCTTCAGTAGTCTCTTGCTGTTGCTGCTCCAAACAGACTGTATTCAATGACAACAACTTGCATTTGTATAGCGACCTTCACGCAGGATAGCACCGCAGAATGTTGCACATTGGTGGGGTTGGACACTGACCAAGTAAGGGGTAGAGAGGGGGGAAGGTGACCATAGGTCAGGTCAAAGTAATAAGTGACATTTAAAGATAGATAAAATGGGGCAGATGATTTGAGGCGGGAGTTCCAGAGTTTGGAGGCTTTGTGGCTGAAGGCAGGTCACCAATGTTGTGTGGAAGGTTTGTAGGACCCTGAGTGAAGGGCGCTATATAAATACAATTTGTTATTGCATATTCCTCCCTAGATGTTGTATTTCTATGCTTGATAATAATTACAATTGCTGACATTCAGACACATCAGTTAGGGTGAGCTTGACTGATTGACTTGCGTTTTGAACTAATTCAGAATTAAAAATTGATAGCTTCTATTTTGTCACAACTGTGGGTTGGAATCCCTAAATAGATAGTCACAATAATAGATCTATGCTTTTAATATTTAACATGCAACAGATGCTCCTTCTACAGTTTGTCTCTAGGGGGTAAGTGATAAAAGATTAAAATGTAAATATTTACATGAAAGATGCAATAAATATTTATAACTATAGGAAGGAAGACTTAATTCCATATGACCTATCTTTTCCCTCCCCCTCAAAAATAACCCCTAGAAATACCAATGAGGAAATAGTGAAGATCTTAACAAAAAATCATGCTTGGCAATCAAAATGACTGTCAGTGTTCAGACCCATATTTCAACTCTCCAGGCATTGGCTTTGTGTTTGATGTATCACCATTGCACACGCACATACACCTCTCTTTCTCGTGTGCAAGTGCACACACAAATCCATTGTTCCTGTTGCTCAAAATCTCAATTCCAAATGCCATCTGTGCACTTCTCCCGATTTGTTACGGGTTGGGACTAGATGTTGTGGGCCAAAACTTCATTTCTGTTTACTAATTCACAAGCCATTCCAAGACGTTTCTTTTAACACTTGCCTTATCAAATCAAGCTTTCTTGTCCTGCTCTCAGAATTTCTGTCTTTTTTAATATAGAAAAGGGCTGCACTCTTCTCCCTTCCCTCTCTACCCTCTTCAGGCTGTTTGTGTCTTGCCCTTAGACTTTGTGTTAAAGGGAAATGAACAGCATCGAGTTTGTGAGAAAAGGTTTACTGGAAAAATGAATCCTCGCAGTTGTAGGAGCACCACACCCCAAGCGTTGGGAAAGGAATGGGAGGAATGAGCTCTACCATTAATGGGATAATAAAACAAAGTACTTATCTTGTATAACATCTTACCTTGCCACACCAAAATACGACCAAACCCTTTACATGTTTACTGTCAAGTGGCTGCTTTGGAGGCAAACAAACAGCAGCAAAGTTAAACAAATAGCAACCATGTAAATGAACAGTTAATCTTTAGATTTCGCCCACAAAATATACAATCAATTCGCTTCACGGTATATTTCTGTGAAGCGTTTTGAGATGTCCTGAAGACGTGATAAGGTGCTATACCAAATGCAAGGATTATTATAATCTGAGACATTGTTGTCCAGGACAGCAGTCAAAACTCCTTTCTTCTGTTCAGTGTTGTCATGTCAACGTCCCCTGTAGCTTGAGTTAAATAAACCCGAGGCTTAAATTTTAAAACTGTAACTACACACCCAAGAAGTAGAAGGAATTCTGGAAATAAACTGCTAACGAACACAACCGTAAATGTGCAGAAATATAGGTTTCCTTTGTGGGTTGGATTCCAGAATTCTCTTAAATTGAATCATCTCCAGGTTACTTATTGTTGTGGAAGAATATTACAATCAAGCTTTCAAATTCACCTTTCAGATGCTCTTCTTTTCTCATTCTTTTAAACCTGAAGATCGAGGTGAGCTCAGAACAATTCTCCTGGAAAATGTCTTGCCTCTCATTCAAATTCACCGAATGGATTTAAATTTGGTCACTTGCTGTATTGCTGAGTTTAGGACATTACTAACACAGATCATTTGCTGGAATTGGACAACATAAAGGTCACTACACTACATATTTGTTGTACGGTGTTTGGCTTGGAAATTTACATTGATCTCTGTTCCAAAACTCATCACAGTGAAATAAACCACCTGCTTCCCCAAAGCGCAAATCTCAAGAGTTTAAATCAAGTGTTCTCCAAATATCTTGAGTGATTGAAGCTGCAGACAAGGACTTGAAAATTCCACTCACTTAACTAGCCGGGGCCAGTATTCTTCACATTTAGTGAGGCTGTGAAAACCACCTATCTGCTTTGAGTGTGTCATCTCTGCAGGTTCAATCCTTTGCTTCTTTCTCTGCTCTCCTGGTGTTTCTGTTTCTGTGGGTCCTGTCACAGCTCTTCCCTTGCTTTACTGACCAGCACCTTGTCTGGAAAAATGAATTGCCCTCTTTTATGATCAGTTTTCTCTTGTTAAACTAAAGTTTGTTAACAGTTTCAAGGAAGAAAATAGACTGGCAAATGGCAAGTTATTTTCCCTATCTCTTAACCAGACTAAAGCTTTTGTTTTTTCAGCAGTGTTGTATTAATTAATATAGCACCGCATGACATGGAAAGGCTGTGTAATATGTTTTGGCTGTTGACCTGGTTCCCAGTTTGATCATCGACTATGAAACCTTATGACCTTTAACTAGCATTGAGACAGTCTATATTCCATCTTAAACATGCGTGCAAGCCTCCGTCCCTCTCACTATGTTGGTCTCTGTGCAGTAGCACATGGTGCTGATCCTGATAAATTAGTCGCTTCAGAGCTCTCTTTCATGTTAATATTTTGACATGCGTATAGAAAGATTTATTTACCGATTTACAAAGTGCCCTTTCACATGAACAGACAATCTGTTAATGTATTAGTGAATGAGACAATCTGTTCATCATTTGACTGCTCAATCAACTATTCAACTTTGGAACTCCCTCCCTCAACCCCTTCGCCTTGCCCCCTCCTTCCCCATCTTCGGGTCTTACCTTCCTCTTCGACCGAGCCTATGGTCGCCTTCCCCCTCCCCCTGGCTTGGCCTCGGGCTCCGCCATTGCTAAGTGCCCTGAGACGCCGCCTGGCGTGGAGGGCGCTATATAAATGCAAGTTGTTATTATTCCAAAGTGCTTGTTAAGAGAGCCACCCGCTGGTGACTCATAGCAACTCAACATTTCCAAATACAATTGGAATTTACAAGGTGAATGGTAATAAAGTTTAATCTCGAAATGAACTGATGCCACGTGTTTCAATTATTATAAGCAAATGGATTTTTCAACATAACTTGATGTTTGATTCTTTTCTATATGACAAAACGCTTGACTTATGATCTGTTTATAAATAGGATTCTTGTGGCCCTGCGGCCCCGTTTCACAACGGAACTCCTCGTTCTTCCAGTATAATCGGGAGAGAGAAGGTAAGTATTGAATTTACAAACCTATAGGATCTCGTAGCAATAGTGAAAGAGCAAATTTAGCAGGTGGCATTCAGAGAGTGTGTCCAAAACGTTAATATTCCACACATCCACTTTTGGCTAGACCTTTCACTCCAATACAGCCAAATAGATGGGTAAAGGGGCTGACTTCTTTTTAACAATAAAGAGATACGTTTTTGACCGTGTCCAAATGTCACTGAGGATGGGTGTTCTTTTATCGGTGGGATGCATTTTGTTTTTGGACACAGCCCCACACTTTCACGCTCACCGACCTATCCAGGCTCGAGTTTGAATGAACATTTCCCATAATTAACCTGTGTTTCTGGCAGCACAGTGAGCTTCGTTCCTATTTTCTGTTTGAACGTGCTGCGTTTTTCTCAGTAACTCTTGGGCATGATCCAATAAAAATGTTAACGCAATGCAAAAGGCATCCTAAATGGTTGGCACTTTGACAAAAACAGTACCTTAATGCTGTTCCACAAATGTCTGCATGGCTGCAAGCAGCTGGTAAGAAATTAAAATGATGTTTTAATCTCAAAATACTGTACTACATCCAATTTAACCACTTTGATAGTAACATTTTGAATCGTGAAAGTCTCCAATTTGATGTTTGATGGCCTGAATCAATTATCTGGAAGGGGTATATAAAACGTCCCTTTGTGTTCACAAGACTTATCCCCAACGCTTGTATGTACTGGGGGAGATGTACAGAATCTTCCCATTGGCACTGGGGTGTCTGTGCTCTATCCCAGCAAGCTCTTTGCACAGTGAGCTAGCTCCCTGTCATTTTCACATGAACATCGCTATACAAATGCAAGGATTATTATTATTATTATCCATCTCAGGTCCATCAAGCTAATTGATGAGAACTGGACTGGCTGAGCTAGTGCTAGATAAATGCTGTGATCTCTTACACTTCAGCTCCTGCTCTGTTCAGGTTACAGTTAGCTCTGACTTGATTTAGTTCTGCTTTTAGTTAGGCAGCCTCATATTCTTTGCGTTTGTACTTCTAGTGTGTGCTTTCAGAGAGCCCATTCTCATTTTATCCTAATTCAAGAGAACTCCAAATTCAGCTTTGGACAAGCTGAATTCTAAGTGCATCTCCCACCTCTACAGTCTTATAAAGATACATTTAGGTACATCCTCTCTCCGATTAAGGCACAGGGTGAATTTTTGATGTGCACCTGAAGCAAGGGTTGGGCACCGTTGGCTCAAGGCCCTCCTCTTCGACCGTTCCTTCAGTCACCATCCTACCCCTCCCCTCCCCGCCATCCACCCCTCCTGATCCCAACCACCGGCTTGGGTACGGTTCCCTGACTTTCCAGTGCCTTGGGACGTCCTCCTGACATGAAAGGCGCTACACAAATGTGATTTGCTGTTGTTGCTGGTGTCGCGACAGATTAACCGCTGACTCAATTAAAAATTGATTAAGTTTACCTGAGCAGACTACATTTCGTACGGAAAATTTGCATTGTACTGGGTCAATTCTCCTCTTAACTCAGTTTAATTCGTAACAAAACGAAAACATCAAAACGGAGAGAACGCACATCAGCATTTTTCCCCTACAGGCACTCTTGTTAGCCAAAAATGTCAATTGAACCCACATAAGAGAAACCTCAAAAAGAAAACAGCAAACAATTCTGCTATTGTGAGGAGGCTTCAAAGTGCTGACTCTCTGAATTTTTTTTTCCAGTTCTGCATCAGAGAACACAATTCCTGGCGGAGTTACAGCAAAGTTCTTGTAAAGCAACAACAAAATTGCATTTGTGTAGCGCCTTTCACGTCGGGAGGACGTCCCAAGGCATAGGAGAGTCAATGTTTCGGGCCCGATCTGGGAGCCGGGATTGGGGAGGATGGAGGGCAGGGGGGAAGGGAGGTGATCGGAAGCATGGTTGAAGAGAGGAGGGTTTTGAGATGGGTCTTGAAGGAGGCAGGGGAGAGGGCGGCGAGGCGGAGGGACTGCAGCCTATGGAGGGAGGAATTGGGGAGCCCGACAAGCAAGGAGTTTGCATGGTCAAGCCTGGATGTTATGAATGCATATATGAGGGTTTCAGCGGCATGCGGTGTGAGACGGTATTGCAGAAGTGGGGGAAGGCAGAGCAGGTCACGGTATGGATGTGGGGTAGAACGGATAGTTGAGGGTCAAACAAGATACCAAGGTTTCGGACTGGCTCAGTGAGGTGGAGTGTGCATCCGTGGATGGCGATACTGTCAGTGCCTGAGTTGTAGAGGCGTTGACGGGAGCCAATCAGGAGGGCCTTGGTCTCCTTGATGTTCAACTGAAGAAAGTCAATGCTGCTATCCTTGTTGGTGGCTTGAGGACCTTGAGGTCCAGATTAGCACAATTTCATAATCTGACCATGACAAAACCTATGACTCCTGGAATATGGACTGCTCTGCGCTTTCTTTCACAGAAAATGCAGAATAGGTAGCAACACAATGCAAATGTAGCTTAATTTTGAGTCTGGCTTCTTACTTTTTATTCTTTTTCTTTGAGAATATGTCCGTCTCTATAAAAGCCCTTCATCACACCCCCCCCCCCACTCCAATGTCTTGCTGCCGAATTTACAGTCGGTTATAAATAAAAGATGCATTGATATCAATTAATAATATTTGCAAATTGCATTGTCTCCTTTGTGCGGGTTGCCATTTTGACATGAGTGATCCACACCTTTTTTATTCCTCTCGTGCTGCAAAGAATTTTGTTGCATCCTGTGACAAGCAGATTTAGGCACTGCAATAGCGATCTGGCAATCTTACGCAGATAACGCTCAGTAAATACAGCTCACCCAAAAAACATTCTTAATTGTAGAATTTTCAGTCCTTGGTTTGTGTCACTTTTTTTGACTCAAAGTTTAATTCTTTATTGTGCAGAATAATTCAAATTTTAAAAGGGAATCCAGGAGTGCGGTTTGGATGGTGTGACATCCCAGTTCTTGTCAAACGCTTCAGGTTCTATTCCTTGCTAACTGTACAGGGCTTTAGAGGTACCTTTCCTCAAAATGCAAAATCACAAGCGCAGCCGTGACATGTTTCTGTTTCCCTGCAGACATCATCTGGTATCACTATTCCAAAGCCACCAAAGCCACCGGACAAGCCTTTGATGCCCTACATGCGTTACAGCAGAAAGGTACACTCTTGGTGGGATTGTGTCTCAGCATATCTTGCAAGACTCATTTGCCCGACTGGTAAAAGCTCAAATGTATAACCAAACCCAAGAAGACTGCTTTGTAATGTGCCACCAACCTTTTAGACTTCCGAGAGGTCATGCAAAAAGCGATCTGAATGACAGCTTGCACTTCGCTCTAAGATGTCCATTATTCTAGAGATGAACCGTGTGAATGGCCCTCTTTGAAATACATTCAGTAATGTGTTGCTGGCTCATTTAAAAGCAGGATTATTCCCATCAGCAGCAGCACTTTTTTAATTAAAAAAAACACATTGTTAAGGAATGTGGTCAACTTTTAAAATCCCCATTTTTCCTGTAAATCAACAAGTGTGTCTTATTAACTAACTGGAACGAGGTGCTGATCCCGGTCAGTGTGATTGCTGAATGAGCAGTCCTGATGCTTGGGCATTAACCTGATTTGACTCAGTAATGATTGATGCAATTCCATTAGGAGTGTCTGTAACTTCAGGTCACTCGCCCTTACTATTAGATACTAACTCCTCCCAGCCTATTTCCACCGATGATATTCCACCTTAGCTGTAGCTTAAGCAAAACAATTCAAAGCACCAAAAATTCACCTCCATTCTTTCTTAACTGTTTGGTTTTTGGAAGAAGCACTAGACGCGAGGCTCCCTCTTTTAATTCACTGACTATAATTCGGTGCATTTGGATGTTGATCATACTGCACCCATATAAGCTGCCTGGTTGACGGTGTGGTAACTTTTATTACTGTACCAGCTCTGTAAACCGTCTCCTTATTGTGTTTTAGGTATGGGACCAGGTTAAGGCCTCCAATCCTGATCTGAAGCTGTGGGAAATAGGGAAAATCATCGGTGGAATGTGGCGGGATCTGACTGATGAGGAAAAGCAGGAATATCTGAATGATTATGAAGCAGAGAAGGTAAAACAGTAGGGGTAGAAAACCCGTTCAGTGAACCGTCAGGGACAAGAATACGAGTGTTCAGTTGTTGGTATCAGAAGCCTTGTTTTATGCTTAAGCAGTTTGCTCATTTCAAGCTTTTTTTGGTAGTTGGTCCCTCTCTGTGCTTTGGAGTCTCCAGTTTCAGGTGCTGAGAATTCACAAAAACAAGACTTTTGTTTTCCAGTTCTGGAGTGTGCTTTCTCTCTGTCTAGAAAGACTAGCTCAATAGATTTCACTACTTGCCTGTGGCCAGAGAACACAACTGCAGGTTGTTGTGAATCCTGAACTATGCATTGGGTTACTGCTGGAATTTAACCAGCTATACTGAAGCCTGTCAGTACAGGAGCATTGGGAAACTACACACTCGGCTTGTCAAACTAGAAATACCAAATCGGAGAATCGTGTGCCCCAGTAAATGCCTATCCTCCCAAGTCCTGTTGATGACCCAGGCCGGCAAATTACTCTTTACAATGCTCTGGAGTTCCACAGAGTCACCTGGCTCAAATATCAGATCACACATTCCACCACAGAGGGCAACGTGCGTTCCCGTCTCCCTCACCAGGCCTGCCATCTCAGTTAGCTTGACTCAGGGAAACCTTGCCTATCTTCCTCAAAGAGCTGCAGATTGGTCATCAATCGGAAGGTAGAGTAAGTTGAGGCAGAGAGTAGCTGAGTGGCATTTTTGACCTTGACATTTTGTTGTGTTCTTCAATCCACTTCTTGCAGATTGAGTACAATGAAGCCATGAAAGCATACCACAACTCACCTGCGTATCTCGCCTACATCAACGCAAAGAGCCGGGCGGAGGCGGCTTTGGAGGAAGAGAGTCGACAGCGGCAGTCACGCATGGAGAAAGGCGAGCCGTACATGAGCATCCAGCCAGCTGAGGACCCTGATGGTGAGCATTGACCTGACTGATTTCAAGTCCAGAGGATATTCTACTCCATAATCCGCCCAAGTTTATGACTTCTTTTGCGATGGGTTGGAGGGTGGGGGGATGTGCTTCTGATACTGTTGACACTTTTGTGAATTGGAGTGAAAGTTGATGTGAATTTTTCTGTGAGGTAAACTTGATCTACCCCTTGAAGGATGGGCTTGGTTGCGTTTTGAGTATACCCAGAGTAAATCTTACTCAATCGTTTCAGAGTTCCAACTACCCAGTATTACTTTTTGCTACCTTGGTTGAAGGGCACTATTATATAAATACAAGTTGTATGTTCTAGTCATTGTGTCTACAAATTCAACCTATCCACATTTCAACAAGCATTTCACCAACTCTGCCAGGTTAAGGTTAATATTTGATTATGCTACTGTAGCTCCTCACTCACCATCTATAAAATGTCAAAATAATTTGCCCACAGTAAAAGAAAGCACAGGAAGAGCTAGAACAAGCCCAGGCAAATATCTTTCACTGAATGAGTTGTTGGGATGTGGAATACACTACCAAGTAAGGTGGTAGAGGCAAGAGTCCATTGTGGGTTTCAAGAGGGAAGCAGACCTGTATATAATAATAATCCTTGCATTTGATATAGCACCTTGTCATGTCTTCGAGGAGTCTCAAAGCGATTCACAGTATACACTGCAAAGTGAATTGACTATATTTTGTGGGCGAAACATGGCAGTAAATTGCGCACAGCAGTGTCCCACAAACAGTCGTGGATTGAGTGACCAATTTATATATTTTCTTGAAGGAATTATTACCCCTGGGAAAACAATCCTCCAGTCGACTAACAACCTGGTTCCTACTTACTGCGAGGCAAACGACATGTGGAGTAAGGAAACTTGCCCAATGTTTCGCTCTGATCGGGAATCGAACCCAGATCTTTTGCTTGCGATGCCTCCAACCGCTGAGCTACAGGTTCCACGAAGGTTGATGAAGGTTAAAGGCTTGAAAGCGTATGGTGATAAGGCAGGGCAGTGGGATTGAATGAATACCTTTTTTCTGTGAGATGGCGCAGATTCGATGGGCCGAATAGTGTCCTCTAAATTTCTACTATTTGCCTCAATGAATTTTATGTGTTGCTGATTGAGTTGAGAGAATAATAGCAATCGAAAAGGCAATTACTGGCAGAGAGCAAATCAAGCCATTTAAGGCAATGTCGACCATCGCCTTCTCATCACACCCACATATCCATTGTGTTTCCTTTTAGCGTTTCATATATCATTCCTTGGCGTTTTGCTGCTTGTACTTAGCATGTTGTTGATAGGTCTGTCTCCGAGCGACAGATTTTTACACAGATTAATACCTGAAAATGTCACTTGATCAGAAAACATTTCTTTACACAAATGCTTGTGAGAATGTGGAATGCAGTGCACCCAGAAAAGCCTGATACTAATCCCTCAAGAGAAAAAATAATAATAAAATTGGTCACTTCAATCCACGACTGTTTGTGGGACACTGCTGTACGCACTTGGCTGCTGCGCTTTGCCCACAAATATATACAGTCAATTCACTTTACAGTATATTCTGTGAAGCGATTTGAGATGTCAAGAAGACGTGAAAAGCGCTATATCAAAAATGCAAGGATTATAGATGCCTAAAGGGAGACTGATAGACGTCAGATATAAGGTTTGGAGAAAAAGTGGGGAAATTATATTTAAAGATTAGCCATGATCTAATAATATTGTGGAACCAGCTCAACAGGCTATATAACCTCCTGCTATTCTTGCTTTTAACCTTCCAAGAGGAAAGTGCCATCTAAAGACGGACAAGAAGGGGGCAAGGTGGAGTGATGGAGGCAGAGAGTTCCAGAGTCTCAGGTGTAATGGCTGAAAGCATGGTCGCAGATAGTGGAGCAAAGCGGACGAAGAACGTGCAGGAGACCGGAGACAGCTGAGAGAAGGAAACTGGGGTAGTGGAGTAGGGAGTAAGCAGGTCGGAGAGATAGGGAGGTGCCAGGGTGTGAAGCGATTTATCAGTGAATATGCAGCAATCCGTAATTACCAACCAGGAATCAACATACATCATACATTTTTCAGTAATTGGTTGTTCCACCCTTCATTTCTGTGGTTAACCAAAGGCCATAAAGTTTATAGAGCAAAGGCCAAAACCCTCATACATGCTTTTGTTACATCGAGGCTCGACTATGCAAACTCATTGCTTGTCGGCCTCCCCAACTCCTCCCTCCGCAGACTGCAGATCATCCAGAAATCTGCAGCCCGTGTCCTCACCCCCACCAGGCTCCGTTACCCTATCAACCCCATCCTCGCCCGACTCCACTGGCTTCCCATCACACAGAGGATACAGTTCAAGATCGTGGTCCTCACCTTCAAAGTCCTCCATCGCCTCGCTCACACCTACCTCCGCAACCTCTTAACCCTCTACCGTCCCGCTCGCTCCCTCCGCTCAGCGGGCTCCAGGCTGCTTCACATTCCCCGCCTTGTCCCACTATTGGCGGGCGAACCTTATGCCACTCTGCCCCCACCCTCTGGAACTCCACCCCACAGTCCCTCTGCCTCGCCCCCTCCCATGCCACCTTCAAGACCCATCTCAAGACCCTCCTCTTCGACCGTGCTTTTGATCTCCCTGCTTCCCCCTGTCCTGCCCTCCCTGAATACTCGTGAGATTGTGGGTTTTCGGGGGGTGGGTGAGGGGCAGTTGGTACCTTTTATATTCAATTTCTTCTGTTCTAAAAATGCGGGTTACCGGTAATATTGCATTTGAGATGCTTAACTCAGTTGTAATTACATTTGATTCAGCTTTATAGGAATCTTGGACTGAATGGTGTTTCCTTGTGATGGTTTTGTGATGGAGAAATGTTAACCGCAGTATTTGCTTAACATTCAGTTGTTTGTGAAAAATGTTATATAACATATATAACTACTTTTAAAAACGCGGTAAACGGGTATTTGAGGAGGACGGGTTTGCAGGGTTATGGGGAAAGGGCTGAGGAGTGGGTTTGACATTATTTGCTCTATTCAAAGACCCGGCACAAACTCGATGGGCCGAATGGCCTCTTTTTGTGCTGTACGATTCTATGATTCTATGAACATGCGCCCATTCCATGGGCCATTCCCTAATCCAGGACTGCAGCCTGGCCCCTGATCTCATCTGTCAGGCAGCACTGGTTCTCAATGTTAACTTGAGAATTGCTAACAAACCCCTCCTCCAAAGTGAGGGAACAGAAGTATGCATTTGCTTTGTCACATTTGTAATTCCCTTCCATGACATAGGGAACATAGGAACAGGAGTAGGCCATTCAGTCCCTCGAATCTGTTCCGCCTCTTCTATTAGATTATGGCTGATCTGTACCTCAACTCCCAATTATTTTAAAAATATGAAATATTGCTGACGTTGGGCAGTAGAGGGTCTGGTGAGCAAAATAGTTCCTGATCATAATAAAGTCCTTGCATTTTGACATAGCGGCTTATAATAATAATACTTGCATTTGATATAGCGCTTTTCATGTCTTTGAGACATCTCAAAGTACTTCACAGAATATACTGTAAGTGAATTGACTGTATATTTTGTGGGCGAAAAGCGGCTGCCAATTGCGCACAGCAGTGTCCCACAAACAGTCGTGGATTGAGTGACCTATTTTATTGTTGTTTTTGTTTTCTTGAGGGATTATTATCAGGCGTGTGGAGTAAGGAAACTTTCCCAAGGTTTCTCCCTGACAGGAATCGAACCCAGGTCTCTCGCTTGTGAGGCGAGTGCTCTAACCACTGAGCCATCGTGAATTTGAGACATCTCAAAGGGAGATGTTTTCAGGAGTTCTCTGGTAGCACTCACTTCAGGTTCCGAGTGATGCCTCTAAACCCTCTGTGTGTCTGATCCCTCTCTTTCTCCCCCCCCCCCCAAAGTTGGATCTTTGATCTTGGGAGTCAAGGCTGACACCTCAGTGCAGGGCTGGGGTGTGCTATACTGTTGGAGGTGCCATCCTTCAGATGAGATGTTAAATCAAGATTATTCAAGTGAACATTAAAATTCCCATGGCACTGGGAGAACAGAGTTGTTGTTCTGGTCAACAGTCCCCCAAATAAAATTAGTTCCTCATATCCTGACTCTTTGGGGGGCACTGTGCTAAAAATAAATTGGCTACTGCTTTTGCCTACAAATGTAGACCTTACACATGACAGAAACCCAGCGATAAACCCGTGAAAGGCTTTTAAGATGTTTCAGCATTATAGTTCGCTGTCTGAAATGCTAGGATTATTATTTGTTTTCCAACAAAACGCAGTCATTCCTCTTTATAGTATATAAACTCTTTGGGTCATCCTGACATGAAAGGAACTATGTCAAATGCAAGGATTATTATTAATATTAATGGAGTTATATTAGTCTACAAATGGTTTTGGGAGGAAATTTGACCTCAGAGAGACATTGGAAAGGGTGCTGCCCCCCCGCCACCCCCCCAACCCCTCATGTCCACCCCACTCATCCTCACAAAATCCTGTGCAGCGCTTTGAGACATCTCTATCAAATGCAAGGATTTTTATTACTGTTGGTTTGCCTTTGTATTTCTGATTGGTTGACTGCAGTAGTTTCAGCGCAGATACTAATTACAATATTGTTGACAAGAGAGTGTTTTATGCTACTGGGCCCACCCTATCTTTGGGCGAAATCCTTTTTATATTGATTACTGAACAAGCATTTTAATTACAGTAGACAAGCTTGCTGACATTTACGAGCTATTTGATGCAATCCATTTCAAGGTGTGGCTTGTGGATGAATTGAGGCAAACGGGTGATACATTTATCTGCAATGAACTGTATGTTGTTTTTGGATCCCATATTGAATGATGTTGTCTTTGAGTTACATATTAAAAGTGTGTTAACAGCATTTTATATTTTGTACAGTTATGAGGGACCCATAGGTGATGTGATGTATCTAAACGCTACAAGATTGTGATGCAAATTTTGATAAAGGAACCTCAATGATTCCATTGAAGAATGACATGAGTATCACACTGGAATGTAATGAATGAATGTGCGAGCATTAATACATGGCTCATGATGTGTGATGTTGTTGATTTTACAATCTGAGATTGTAACCTCTCTTTTTGAAGGATGAAGTCTCTTGAATACTTATGCTCTGGAATGCAAGTTGTTGTTGTTAATAGGAATATTTGCACTGCGCTTACTGGAAGTTTCATAGAAATTTACAGTACAGGAGGCCATTCGGACCATCGAGTTTGTACCAGCACTCAGAACAAGATGGCCATTCAATTCCACTGTCCTGCCATATCCCCATAACTGTTCTCGCCTTTATCTTTCATGAAATAATCAATTGGTATTGCAATGTTCCTCATGTGTAGTGCTTTTTAGTGTCCATTCTGTAAATGTGTACGATTAATTCTTAACTAGTTGCATCTTTTGAGAGGGAAAAGAAAGGTTCACGTGTTCAGATTTATTCTTACAAACTTGATGCAACCTCTTATTTTATTGACTATGGTCTATTGCTCGCACCCCACTTCTAGAGCTCTCTTCCCACACCATTTTGCTCTGATACTCAATCCATATGTTCAAGAACGTATCGCTTTGAACGGGACGCCTGTTTGAATCTCTTTTTGCTTGACGTTTGTAGGCATTATATATCTACTTGTAGACGCTTTTTTACACGTGAGATTCCATATAAATGCAAGTTATTGTACATTTTATCCCAGTAGGTTAATGCAGTGTTCCAGAGTGCCACACACCTGATAACAAGATAGAATTCAAACTTCAGTCTCACCTGCAAAGTTCTCCACAGTCTCACCTCATCTCACCGCTGCAAGCATCTTCAATCCTATTGATCCAGCAGCTCCCTTTGCTCAGTGAACCGACCTGCTTCTTGTCCCCTGCCCTCTATCCGCCCCATCATTGGCGGACAGGCTTTCAATCATTCTGCCCTTGCTCTCTGGAACTCCATCCGAGAGTCTCTCCGGCTCACTCCCTCCCTCCCCTCATTCAAGACCCATCTCGCCAACCTCTTTGTCACTCACCCCCAGTTTGGGTGCCAAGCCGGCACCAATTAATGCTGTGTTTTCTATGTTCCTCAGTTATCTTTTTTTTCCCCATTGCCCCCCCACAGATTATGACGATGGCTTTTCAATGAAGCATATCTCTGCAGCTCGCTTCCAGCGAAACCACCGCTTGATTAGTGAGATCCTGAGCGAGAGTGTGGTGCCAGATGTCCGCTCTGTGGTCACGACAGCCAGAATGCAGGTGCTGAAACGCCAGGTGCAATCACTGATGGTCCACCAGGTGAGTGTGGTCACTAACATGGGCTCTGTGAGAATTGTTCCGTCAATTTGTTTGTATTGTTGAAAATGGTTATTATACACTAATCAGGAATTGGTATCGCACAATCTGAGCGGAGAGTATCAAAACACCAACCGGATGGGGCGAGACCTTATGCAAGTTTCCGTACTCCACATGCCTCTGTTTTCCGAGCATCGTTACTCGATTGGCGGATTACTTTCCGTGGGTAATGTACCCACAAAATCCACGGGATACTGCTGTGCGCAATTGGCTACCGTGTTTTGCTCACAGTGTACACAGTCAGTCCAGTTTCAGTATATTCAGTGCTTTGAGGAGTCTTAACGACTTAAAAATGTGCTGTATCAAACGTAAGCATTATTATTTAACGTCCACTTGAATAGGCAGGCAGGACCTCAGTTTAATGTTTCTTCTGAAGGATGGCACTTCTGACCGTGATATGTGAAGGGTGCTGCAAAAATACAGGTTGCTGTTGAAGCTGTTTGGGGTTGAGTCTTAATCGGTTGATCGCATGGTTCAAAACCAACATAATTATAACCATTAAACTGAAGTGCAGGATCTTCAATGAATTTCTTTCCTGTTTTTGAAGCGCAAATTGGAAGCTGAGCTCCTACAGATTGAGGACCGTCACCAAGAGAAGAAAAGGAAGTTTCTGGAAACAACAGATGTATTTAATAACGAGCTGAAACGGGTAGGAAGGCAATTTTTTTGATGGGGGTAATATTGTAACGACCAGATTGCTGAAACGTAAATTGTTCCGTTTGGTAAAGCACTCACTTAAGGAGTTAATGTCCCACCAACAGCCATGTGGTGAAGTACCAATTTTATTGCGGGATTGATGGCCGGGATACTGGGGGAAATGTCCCATTACAAATAATGCCGATGGATCTTTAATGTCCTCCTGATCCAAAAGACAAATGCCTCCAATGATGCCACACATCACCAACAATATCAGCTTGACTACGCCAGTTCAAACTCCCAAAAGGGGACTTGAACCCACAACTTTCTTGCTGGAGAGAGAGTCAACACGGCTACTGACTGAGACATTTTTTGACCAGATTGTTTGTCGTTCTCTTTTTGATCTTCTTTTCCTCCTTTAGTTGTGCAACCTGAAGGTGGAGGTGGACATGGAGAAGATTGCAGCTGAAATCGCCCAGGCCGAAGAGCAGGCCCGAAAGCGCCAGGAAGAGAGAGAGAAAGAGGCCGAACAAGCAGAACAACAAGCCCAGAGTAACACGCCCGAGGAACCTCCCAGCGGCAGCGAGGCTGACGAGTCCAAAGCAGAGGAAACTCCAATGGAGACAGGTAAAGGTCTGAGGCTTTTGCCCACAAAATATACAGTCAGTTCACTTGACAGAGTATCCTATGAAGCATTTTGAGACGTCTCGAAGATGTGATAAGGCGCTATTTCAAAAGCAAGGATTATTATTATTATTTACTCTGCGTAATATTTCAGAGCGTCATTAAACAAATCAGGGGAATCCTTGCCTAGGACTCCGAGAGAAACTCCCTTTTCTCCCCCCAAATATATTAATAATAATAATTTGGTCACTCAATCCACGATTGCTTGTGGGCCACTCCTGTGTGCAGTTGGCTGCCACATTTCGCCACCCAAAAAATACAGTCAATTCACTTTACAGTATATTCTGTGAAGCGCTTTGAGACGTCTCGAAGACGTGAATAGGCGCTACATTAAATGCCAAGGATTATTGTACGTGGTTATTGCTTGAGACTGGACGAGCTGGCGAGTTACTGCGACAGCAATGTGGTCAACATTGTGTATTGAAATTGGCTTGTTAGAGTAAATAAGAACAGGGTGACCTTTGCTAGTGAGTGTAGGGTGGCACGCCAACACAAAAAATGGCTCCCACCACTGCGTTCTATAGAATAATAATGATCTTTGCACTGGATCGCTGGACGATGCTATAAGTTCAAGTACTGGTGTGGGACGCAGATTGCAACAGTCTGACCCGGTGGTGTGATCTCAAACAGCTAATCCAAACACAAGCCAAGTACCAATTTGAGAGACTCGTGGTGAGTCTTTTAACTCCTGTTTGCTTGTTTCAAAGCCACATCCCAGGAGCAGGAGGTTCCCCTGGGAGCAAGTGAGCCATAGGCCACCTCACCTGGAGCCACTGAACACCACAGGAAGTGCACAACAAGAGAGGATGAATATTCCTTGCATTTGATACAGCGCCTTATCCTGTCGTTCAGACGTCTCTAAGCGCTTTACAGGATATACTGTAAAGTGGTTTGACTGTTATTTTGTGTGTGTGTGTATATGTGGGCGAAATATGGCAGCCAGTTGCACACAGCAATGTCCCATGGTTCTTAACTGACTGATCGAAGTAAACCGAGGCCTTAAAATGGTGATGATAATAATCTGTGCATTTGATACAGCGCCTTATCATGTGTTCCAGACGTCTCAAAGTGCTTCACAGAACATACTGTAAAGTGAATTGACTGTATTTTGTGGGCGAAAGCAGTTGAAATGGTGGGTTATTGAAAGGCCTCTCTGAGCCTCAAGTCTGCTGGTTCATTGCAGGACACCTGACGACAAGTGTGTTTGGTAGGGTGACGCCTGTACACTTAATGTGTCTACAACTTTATCGTTCATCTCTAATTCCTCCTCCTCCCCAAGGTGTAGCTGTGTTTTGTTCTCCGCATTGTTGATGCCATCTTTGGTCACTGAGAAAAGCAAGATTTTCTTGATAGACTGTCTTTGTCAAATGTCTACGTTCCGCTTAGATTTCAGTTCTAAGAAGAAAGGTAATCTTAATCTTGATCCAGTTCTGTGGTTTCATGGTTTATTTTTGAAGTGAGGTGTGAGCTGTTGATGTTCTTCGAAGTGAGGCTAAAATTGTTTGAGCAGCAATATACTGAGTATACTGAACCGAGAGCTCTGTGAAAACAACTGCACACTAGTTTTTTTTACAGCCTATATTCAGCGTTAGAAGAGAGTTTAAAAATAGTTTGCTTTTGAAGTGGATCGTAAGAGTAGAAAAAGATCAGATTCGATGGAAAATAATTTTAACAAATTACAAAAGGCTGAGCCGGAAAAGCAAGTGTCAATAGTGTTTGTAATTTTTGTGTTTATTTCAGCAAGTTATCTTGACAAAGGTTTGTTCATCAGCTTTTCTTCTTCCTTCCTGATGTTCGCTTCCTGGCCAAGTGTGCTTTTCTTCACCTCTGTCACATTGCCTGCCTATCTCAGGCCAAATGTCACCTGTTGTTACCTCCTGTGTACACTTCTCTGATGCACTCCTCACTGTTCCTTTCAGTTCCACCATCCACAAGGATCCAGATAATCCCAAAACTCCGCTGCCCTTGTGTCCTCACCTGCATCAAATTCCATACACTTATCACCCCAGTCCTCCACTGGCTGTCTCAGTACCTGAAGGCTGATGGTGGTGTGGAGAGGGCAGGGTATATGCACTATCCCCGAGTTGGTTGAGTGGAACGGGCGACCAGAGGAGTCAGGTCGGAGAAAATCCCAAAATGGGAGATAGTTAATCAGTCCCTTAAGAGATTGAATAATGGATTTCCACTTAATGGATGTTCCAATGATATAATAGGAACATAGGAATTAGGAGCAGAAGTAGGCCATTTGGGCCCTCGAGCTTGCCCCGCCATTCACTAAGATCATGGCTGATCTTCTAACCTAACTCCATCTGCCTGCCCTATCCCCATCTCCCTTAAACCCTCTATCCTTTAGAAATCTATCAACCTCAGTCTTGAAGATGTTCGAGGACTGAACATCCACAGCCTTCTGGGGTAGAGAATTCCACAAATTCACTATCCTCTGAGTTAAGAAGTGTTTCCTCAACTCTGTTCGAAAAGCCTGACCCTTAATCTTAAGACTGTGACCCCTAGTTTTAGATTCTTCAACCAGGGGAAACAGTCTCACACTGTCTACTCCGTCAAGCCTGATAAGAATCTTATATGTACATATAAATCTTATATATAATAAATCTTACATATAATAATAATAATACTTGCATTCGATGCAGCTCCTTATCACTTCATTGAGATGTCTCAAAACGTTTCACAGAATATATGGTAAATTGGATTGTGTAAGGCTGAGCCTGTTAACTTGAGGGACAGGCTAGGCTGCATGTGGAGGCGTTGTTTGGTATTTTGTTTGTAGACAAGTTGAGATCAGATTTCTGACTCTTCATTCCCACATCCATTTGAGCATAGTTCTCCATAGCCACAAGCTGATTTTAGGCTTACTGCCTCCCAATTAATAAGGATAATTGGCTCTATTTTCTACCAACCTTCTTTCTCTTTTCCCCACATGATCCACTAGATGGGAATGGAAATATGGAAATTCTTGGTTTGATAACTAAAGATTGTCCTATATGCTAAACATCACTGTTGTAATAATAATCCCTTCGAAAAAAATAATAATAATAGATTGGTCACTTCAATCCACGACTGCCTGTGGGACGCTGCTGTGCTCAATTGGCTGCCGCATTTCGCCCACAAATATACAGTCAATTCACTTCACGGTATATCCTGTGAAGCGCTTTGAGATGTCTAGAAGACGTGATGAGGCACTATCAAATGCAAGGATTATTATTGCGAACTGTAGGACCCCCACAGAGATGATTTTGATGCCTCGACTGTACAGCATTTCTGCATGGGTAGGGCCTTGGGGTCTTTTTTATGCTGACGTGGCAGGACACTGATGTGTGTGCGTGTGTGTGTGTGTACTTGTTTGCAGATGAACCGCGCAACGATGAAACGCCAGAACCCCAACAGAGCAGCGAAGAGAGTACAGCCACTCCAGAGGATAAGGAGGGCTGTCCGGATACAACAGACAGCAGCGTGGAGCAGGGAGCGAGTGAGAGCACCTCGGGGACCGAGAGCAACAGCGCTGTGGCAGAAGAATGCTTACCAGAACCCACACCAGAGAGCGAAGAGAAGAAAGAATGATTTCAACAAAAAGAAACTTTTCATTCCAATTAGTCGTATCACTTGATTAGTACTAGCTTTTAATTCTACATGTTCTGTTAGGAGAATTTTTTTTAAAAAACATTTTATAGGGATGTCAGCAGTATAGGTCCCCGAGCTCAAACTGCAGCTGAATCCATTTTGAAATGGATGTCACTATATTGGAGGGAGGGGGAGAGATGCAGTGGCAATAAAGGCCTGTAATGGTTATTAACGCCCTCTCATTTTGGTCCCAACGAAGAGGTTTTTGTCCCCAACTTAATGACCGTCTAATTACGCAGCAGTGATTCCCCTCATGGCATCTATCCGCTCTGTTTGTTTCTGATGTACTTCCAACCGGCTGCACAATGCCTTTTGTTGAACGGTTGGTAACTGTGAAGCCTGTATTCCCAGTGCTGCCCGGTGTCGAGTTTCTAATGACCAGCGTTCTGTTATCAGGACTGCACAAGTCTCGATCCCAGTGCTTCGTGGCATCAGCGTACAAGCTGTGTGTGGCCGGTAAGGGTTATCTTTGCGCGACTAAAACAAAGGGATGGTCACCCGATCTGCGACACCGATGAATAAAATGTGGACAGCTTCAGTACGGAATTTATTTCACTGTAACTCAGGTGGTTATGGTCCGAGAGCTCTTTGTGTAATAAACTTAGTCCCAACCACCCAATGGGCCCAAAGAGTAGAGTTTATTCTCTTCACTTTCACACCAATTCAAGTTGAAATTCCAAAGTGACCCACACTTGACCGTTGTCACAAAATTTATGATTGTTTAAAAGTTTGGAAAAGCTTTTTTTTAAAAAAACCAAGTGTGACGGAGCAGTTTCTTAAATTACGACTGAATTGGAAGACTTCCAGCGTTTGGTCAATCTTACACGGTCTACGTTTGGGTCTTTATGAAGAGGTTTTTTAGTCCCCAACTTAATGACTCGACTGTTACAAAGTGTGTAGCAGTTCGATGCAGCTAAGGTGTTTCAGGGACAAAGTGTGGAAGTGCCAGTTCCTCTGTGAAGGCACCTACCGAGTAACTCTCTTGACCTGGAGCTAACTAACCTGTTGACTAGCGGCATTGTGTGCTCGTGAAAGTGACGTATCTCTATCCTTTCCCGTTTTGCTGACAAGCAAAGCAATTTTGCACCCTCAAAGGGCACATTCAAATAATTTTAGCTACAGAACAGCTAAGCGTTTGTGAGTTCCCAGCCCAGGGACGTTGTTTGAGGATTCAATTTTTATTATGTTATGTTCTGAGCCAACTGCGTATCAGTCAGTCGTGCGGTGTTAGCCAGGTTAGAATGGCGGATGCTGAAGGACTTCTCTGTGGCATTGCTGTGTTTGTCTCGTGCGCTGCATTACTCTTTTTTTTAAATGTTCCTGCCACATTAAAGAGAAACCCCCATCCTACTTTTTGTTATTATTATTATTATTATTATTGTTGTAGGTTCTCGTCTTATGTAATTCCCGGAAATACAACGACAACAACTTGCATTTATACAGAGCCCTCCGTGTAGAGCAGCGACTCAGAGCGCTTAACAGTGGTGGAGTCTGACTCCCAAGCCGGGTGGGGTGGGAAGAGGGAGGGGGGGGGGGGGGAGGGCAGAGGTGGCCGTAAGCACGGTCGAAGAGGAAGGTTTTCAGGTGGGACTTGAAAAAGGAGAGAGGGGGCAAGGCAGAGGGATCGAGGGAGAGTGTTCCAGAGTTTTGGGGGGAAGTGGCTGAAACCGCGATCTCCGATGGTGGGGTGCGAGGGACGAGCAGGAGGCCGGTGGTGGATTGGGAGGTGAGGAGGTCGGAGAGATAGGGAGAGTGTCAGAGGTTCAAGGGATTTACTTAGCGACTGTCCTGAAGGTATAAAGACCAGGAATTAAAGGTGGCATTCTTGAGATGGGACGTTAAACCGACATCCAGTCTACCTGTGCCAACAATCTGCCATATAAACTTGGCCGTTCACTTATTCTGGGTTATTGTTGTAGGCAAATTGGCTGCTGATTTGACTTAACAAATACACAGTCACTACTTTATACAGTATATCCTGTGGAGTACTTTGAAATGTCCTGGGAAAGTTATAAAGATTCTTCTCAGCAAAAACATTGAGAAGATAAGAGACACTTGGCTGGTATCAATCAGTTGGGTAGATTGAATTATCTCGGAGGTATGAAATGGAGATCTTTTTCCGCAGTGACATGATTACCGAGAACTATACCAGTGTTATTCTGCGTACATCGCTGTTTCGGGAAAGATTGCCAGGTTGAGATGAGTTACGTCAAGGTTTGGCTGTCATTCACCGATTGCTCAAGGGAAGAGGCAACACCCAACCAAGAATGAAGAACCGCTCGTCACCCATCCACCCACTCAAACCAACCAACAACAACAACAAATTATATTTGTAAAGCGCCTTTCACGTCGGGAGGACATCCCAAGGCACTGAACAATCATCAGTGCGTGAAATCAACTTCCGCCCCCCCCCCCCCCCCACCATATTCCCCACCCTAGAATTCCTCACCTAAACCTTCAGATCCTGCACTCCTCGGACCCTTTCCCTCTAATCTTTCATCGTATTCCTATCTTCCTGTCTTTACATCCTACATCGAAACTTACCTCTTCAGCTGTGCTTACGGTCACCACTTGCTCTCCCCGCACCCACTCCTCAGTTGCTCAGCATCCAACCTCCTATCTTTGTAAACCGCTGTGAGACATCTACCCCACATGAAGGGCTTTGTCTTCAAACTTGTGGCTGGTTTTTCCCACCAAGTCCCTGAGCACGAGGAACGAGTCCAGTTTGGATCAATACGAATAATCCTTGCATTTGATAATTTCTTCTGGACGTCTTCAAAGCGCTTCACAGAATATATTGTAAAGTGAATGGACGGCCAATTGCGCGAGGCCACTGATGCTGTTTTACCATTTAGTTTGAATGAAGTGGCTCGGATTTTGCGCTCTTGAGGTTTATATTCGGGCTGGAAGAGGGTTAAAAGAGAGTCCCCAGTTGGTTTAGTCATGAGCTACGGGAGCTGTTAACATTTACTTTCTCCGAAGAACAATGAACTAACACTTTTATCATCTCGTCAAACTGAAACGTTTGTGTAATCATTTTACTGTCAAGTGTGACTCATGTAGTAGGGATTATAAGTTTCAAATGCTCCGAGTAATGTCCCATCAGGTACACACGTTGGGCAAGTTTCCTTACTCCACACACCACAGCTTACCATGCAATACGTAGGAACCCGGTTGTCAATCGATTGGCGGATCGCTTTTCCAGGGGTAATGATTCCTTCGAAATAAATGTTAAAAAAAATAATTTGGTCACTTCAATCCACGACTGTCTGTGGGGACGCTGCTGTGCGCAATTGGCTTCCGTGTTTCGCCCACAAAATATACAGTCAATTCGCTTTACAGTCTATTCTGTGAAGCGCTTTGAGACGTCTCGAAGACGTGATAAGGAGCTCTATCAAATGCAAGGATTATTATTATTATTATTGAATCCAGGACTCTAGCCAAACTCTGGGTGTATAGAAACTATAACCAGGGGTCACAGTCTTAAAATTAGGAGTAAGCCCTTTCACACTGAGTTGAGGAAAAACTTCTTCACTCAGAGGGCAGTGAATTCATGGAATTCTCTACCCCAAAGGGCTGTTGACGCTCAGTCCTTGAACATATTCAAGACTGAGATTGATAGATTTCTTGTGGATTAAGGGATATGGGGATAAGGCGGGCGGGTGGAGTTAGAATAGATCAGCCATGATCTTATTGAAGGGCGGGGCAGGCTCGAGGGGCCGAATGGCCTACTCCTGCTCCTAATACGTATGTTCTTATAGTTCTATCAACAGGATTTGCATGTATAACATTTCTTGTCAGCGCAGAGGAATTTCACATGAGATTTTATCAGTTGAGCGTCTGGGGACTTGGCAACAGGTACTTTTCATTACCATTGAGTCTGGGGGAGCTGCGCCCGAGTTGTGTTGACTGCGTTGCAATGGAGCAAAACAGAATCACAAGATCTTACTTGCAATTTTTGGGACATTGATCTCGTTTCAAAAGCAGCTCGATGCTTTGATGGGAGAACACCTGTGAGTGTACTGGAAGAATGTAATCGGATATAATAATAATCCTTGCATTTGATATAGCGCTTTTCACGTCAGGAGGACGTCCCAAAGCGATTCACAGAACACACTGTAAAGTGAATTGACTGTATATTTGTGGGCGAACGCGGCAGCCAATTGCGCACAGCAATGTCCCACAAACAGTCGTAGATTGAAAATGACCAATTTATTATTGTTGTTGGTTTTGGAGGGATTATTATTAGGCTCTGTGTGGAGTAAGGAAACTTGCCCAAGGTTTCGCCCTCTGCCTGGAATTGAACTCAGGTTTCTCACTTGCAAAGCGAGTGCTCTAACCACTGAGCTACAGGACTCCACGGATGGGCCGAAGGGCCTTCTGTGTGTAAATTTCTACGGTTCTGTTTTAAGATGTCATGGCTTTGGAGACTTTAAGACTATAATAATCCTTGCCTTTGCACTTATAACATTGAATTTTCCCTAAAGTGTAGTGACTGTGTATTTGTAGTGAAACGCAGCAGTCAATTTGTGCACAGCAGCGTCCCACAAACAGCCATCAAGTGAACGACTGCCTTGAGGGATTGTTGACCCCCGGAGAAGTGACCCACCAATCGACTAACAACTGGGTTCCTACTTACTGTTAGGTAAACAGAAGCGCGTGCGTGGAGTAAGGAAACTTGCCCAACGTTTCACACTGCCCCGGGAATCGAACCCGGGTCCTCTCGCTTGCGAGGCGAGAGCTCTAACCAATGCGTTATGGGACTCCACCTTTTGACTCTGAGGCGAGAGGGATACTAACCGAGCCAGGCCGATCCTCGATGGAAACCCAAGGCCTTTGGCGCACAAAAGTTGGCAGACGTTCTCCTTTCTGACACGAGGCCAATTTTAGATACCATCCAGTGCCTCCGCCTGAGGTACTCGATGGTATCAGGTGTTCCCACAAAAATCCTGCAAATCACCGCTTCAGAGAATGAGCAAGAATGGACAGTGACAGAGGAATGCTCTGTGCAAAGCATTTTAAAGCCTTTGAAATGTTTGACTGTTGTCGGGATTACTATCCAGGTGTAAGTATCGGATTCTGTACCGTTGGGAGCCGCGGGAGCTTTGCCCCCAGCGATTACTACCCGCAGGAATTCTGCTCCAAAAGCAATCGACGCAAGCAGAACAAGGTGACGGCTCGCGACACCAGGCAGACGATGCGTTCTCCGTCTCGCGGTGACGATTTGACCTCGTGCAGCTACGCGCAGCTCGCTTGTGTCCCTCTCTCCAACCTGCTGACTCCCCACTCCGCCACCCGGCACCTTCGTCCCCGCTGACTCTGGCCTCCTGCAGGTCCCTCGTCCTCTCGACTCCACCAGCAGCGGCCGTGCTTTCAGCCACCTCGCTCCTAAACGATGGCACTCGCTCCACCTCCCACCCCCCCCCCCCACCCACCCACCCCTCCATCCCCGCTTCCTCTTCCACCGTGGTGCCTACTGTCACCTCGTCTTGGCTCGACATCAGGCTCTGCCGTTGTAAAGCGCTGTGAGGCGCTATCCTGCACGAAGAGTACTGTACAAATACATTGTTGTTGACTGCTGGGAGTAGGTAGCAGAGGCACCTGGACATTGGGTCAGTGGTTAGAGCAACTTGGCTCGCAAGCGAGAGGAACTGGGTTCAATTCCCGTCAGGGGCGAAATGCCGGACAACTTTCCTTACTCCACGCGCCTCTGTTTAATCAGCCAAAGCTGCACAGCTCACCATCAAAAGCACTCTCCAGCAATCTGTGCCCGTCCGGGCAATAGCTACCGCTACCAATAATCCTTGCGTTTGATACAGCGCCTTATCACATCTTCGAGACGTCTGAATTCGCAGAATATACTGCAATGTGAATCGACTGTATCTTTTGTGGCCGAAACATGGCAGCCAATTGCGCACAGGGATGTCCCACAAACCGTCGCGGATTGAGTATTATTCATTAATATTGTTTGTTAATATTAAATTAGTATTATTTATTTATACTTTGATTATTAACCCAGGATCAACGTTCCGCCAGTCGACAAACAACCGGGTTCCTGTTTACCCCAACGTTTTGCCGGGAATCAAACCCAGGTCCTCTCGCTTGAGTGACGAGTGCTCTAACCACTAACCTACAGGACTCCACTCCCTGGGACAAGCAGCAGCAAACCTGACAGAGAGTTTCCTCACTCCGCACCCCTCTGTTTACCGGCAGTGAGTAGGAACCCGGTTGTTGGTCGATTGGAGGATCGCTTTTTCGGGGGTAATAACACCTTCAAAAAAAATTGGTCGCTCTGTCCACGACTGTTTGTGGGGACGCCGCTGTGTGCAATCGGCTGCCGCATTTCGCCC